GCCTAAGTGTCCGCCCGCCAGAGGGCCGCTGTGCCTGGGAGGAGGAGCTCCGGACGCTGGCCCGGCCGACCTGGGTTCCAGGTCAAATTCAGCCAATCACAGCCCGGCTGTGCGCCCCGCTGACCCACTTTGCCTCGGTTTCCTCATCTGTCACACGGGATGGAAGCACCTGGCTGTGGGGGTTGGAGGACAGCCCCCCCCCACGGTCCTGCGAGGCGTCATTACTGTCACCGCGAGGGTGGAGCGGCAGCGTCATCTCGGTCAAACGGGGCCTGGAAGAAACGAGGCCGAAGTCGTTACAGAGAGAGAAGACGGAACGCTCCCTCCGGGAGAGACTTGGACACCTAACGCCCGGTTGATCTCATGGGCCTCCCTCCCCGGTGCAAACAGGCCCTTCGCCGGGACACAGTCACCCGGGGGCCCGTGTCGGTTCCCCTCGTCTGAAGGCCCAAGAGCAAGCAGGGCCCGTTCTCTGGGCAGAACGTACGTGAAAGATCAACCGCAGAGATGGGCCCGGGGAACGGCGGAGGTTCGGAAAGCAGCCGGCACCCTCGCACGTGGCCCGGGTCCCCGGGGAGGGCGCAGGTGGACTAAGGAAACAAGAAGCGAACGGGGAGGAGGGCGCGCCGGGGGGCCTGGGGGTTCGGCCGAAAGCAGCGCTAAGGAAGGAATGCATGTGAGAGCCGGTGGCAGAAGAGCAGAAAGACGTCCAATCTGCTCCCTGCGCCTTCACTTTGAGAAGCTCGCTCTCTCTCTCTCAAAAAACAAACAAACAAAAAAAGAGCAAATTAAACCCAAAATAAGCAGAAGAAAAGAAGTAATGAAAACTGGAGGAGGGCCCGGGCCTGTGCGGCTCAGTGGATGGCGCATCGGACTGCGCACGGAAGGGTCTCAGGTCTGATTCCCGGTCAGGGGCGTGGACCTGGGTCGCAGGTGCGATCCCAGCCCCCATCAGGGCCTGTGCAGGAGACCACCCATCGATGTGACTCTCTCACATCAATGTCTCTCCCCCTCTCTTCCTCCCTCCACCCCTCCCTCCTTCCCGCTCTCTAAAAACCACTGGGGAAATATCCTCGGATGAGGATTCACAACAACAGCAAACGCTAGAGGAGGAATCAAAGGAGGTTTCTGCAGAGACAAACGATAGGGAGGGCACAGAGCCCGAGGCAGGCGGCTCTCAAGGGCTGGCAAGGTGATGAGCTCCTTGCTGGGCTGACCGAGAAAATTAAAGCCACAAAACACCAGCGTCGGAGAAGCCGCAGGAGCCACGCGCCTTCACGCGGGAGACGGCAATGATGGCACAGGCTCCAGCGAGGCCATTGGACGGGACACAGGGACCCGGCCGGCCCAGGGAGCACGGGGACTCTCAGCCGTCCCGTATCCGGGAACCAGTCACATTCACACGCCTGCCCACCAGGAAATAGACTCAGTGCCTCCCTGGTTAGTCCATCACGGTTAAGGGAGAAAGAACCCAATTCTGTACATTTTTTTAATGTTTTTATTGATTTCAGAGAGGGAGAGGGAGAGAGAGACAGAAACATCAATGATGAGACAGAATCATGGATCGGCTGCCTCCTGCACGCCCCCTACTAGGGATCGAGCCCACAACCCAGGCATGTGCCCTTGACCGGAATCGAACCCGGGACCCTTCAGTCCACGGGCCGATGCTCTATCCACTGAGCCACCCAGCCAGAGCCCAATTCCCCACGCTCTCAGGAGAGGGAAGGGGCAAGAGGACGGTGGGTCAGGCCCAAGGGGCCGGGGTGGCCCAGCTCAAGGGAGGCCCCAGCCCCGCCACCCCATCTGCTCGCAGGTGGCCTTCAAGTCGGCCCAGTTCCTGAAGGTGGACGTGTGGTCCAAGGAGCTGCTGTGGGTGCTCACCAGGCCTGACCGGACCCTCCAGGAGCAGGCCCCCGAGAAGGTGGGCCCCGCCCCGCCTGCCCTGCGCAGCCCTGCTGTCTGTCCATGGGATGCAGGGCTGTCGTGAGGCCCCGGCCCTGGAGGGAGACGGGAGGACCGCAGGGGTGGGGGGCATGGGGGAGGGAGGGGCTGAGCAGCAGGACTGCAGGCCGCACCCCGAAGCCCCACTACCAGGCAGGTGGATGGTCCACAGAGGGTGGCACAGGAGCCCGGGCGGCCGCCAGGCGGACGGGGATGGACAGGAAGCTGAACCCTCCCCCAGGCCTTCCTGTTCGTCTTCTACGGGCTCATCCTTCAAGCCGAGGACGACAGCACCAGGGTCAGGACGCACCTGGGCACCCTCCTGGGGACGTCCCACCAGTGGCCGAAGCAGAGAGAGGTGAGCACCCAGCTCTCAGCCGGCCACTGGCTGAGCCCGACCCTGGTCACCCTGACCCTGACCCTGGTCACCCTA